CTGGTTGCACGATTTCATATTCGGTTGACCAACAAGTTTTGAGCCAGCAACATTCCACTACGTTGGGACGTAGATCCCCTATCGATGATGGACTGTATAAAGTCACCAGCAATACAATAGCACGGAGGTTGCGGGAAAGCGGATAACATTAACGTCGCCGAGGTGCGGTGGTACTTCTTCATGTCCCTTCTGTTGACTCTATCGGGATCAGGGGAAAGCTTGTGTGTCGAACGACCAATCTGATATTTAGTGCGTGCTATGATAACTCACTATCGTTCAACCTGGTGAAGTTGGCAATCGCAGGAGAAACCGAAGGTTTATGCTTCGTACTGAACCATCAGTGTCAATATCTCTCCCTGTACTAGGGCTGACCCCGGACATTGATGTCTCACTGTTGCACTTGAGTTGAATTTGTATGACGGGGGCAGTTATGCGCCCAATAAGAACGTTGTGGTGTTGCTTATTCTTCCCATGCCAACGTCTCAACTATTGGTCCCGAGAGATTACCACTGTCTGATGGATACGATGGATTCAAAAGTCAGCTGCCGCATCGAATGCGTCACTGTTCAACCACTGTCTTGAACACGTTAGATGCATGTGCGTTTCCGCAAATGGGAACAATGGAAACAGTGGTTTGTCGTGGATCAAAGAAGCCAGTGCCTGACGGATCCCACAGGAAAGACGGGTGAGCAACTCGGCGGCGGTACTCTGCATGGCAGTGCTGGTCGGTTATCGTCCCCCATGGCTCAGTGGCATTAGCTGCTGGGTAGTGATGAAAACTACTAACGGTCATGCGTTCCATCCACAGGAACGGACCGAGGGAATGCGCACTACTGACGAGCCCCAATATGGCGAAACGATCGTCTGGTGCTTTTCCGGAAAGGTAGTTCACCGTTGCGGCTTGTAATCTAATTTCGATGAACCAACTGAAAAAATAAGTCGTGTTGGTGGGCTCAGGGGGTTCGACTGGCTATATTGATTGGTATTACTGTATCTACGCCTATCCAAAACAGGTATTTCATATAATATAAGTGTGTCATCGCGTCACCTAGACTTTTTTAGTATCCGTGATGTGGGAAAGAAAATAATGTAAGTGGGAAGGTCGTCCCACAGTTGGAACACACGCAGTCAGAAGAAATTGCGGCGATATTCCAATCGGTAAGGTTGTGTAGTCAAATTTACCTAATAGCTTCTCACTGTGGTGTCCTGGTTCAGTTTCAGGTGGTAACGGCGCACGTGGTTGGGACTCCTCTGGATTTAACATGCTATTGTCTAATCGCCATGCAGGCGCAGATACTGTTCATTGTAGGCCCTGGGATTTTCACTTTCAGTTGTTGGGTGATTTGGAACAGACCCATCATATTTTTGTTGGCCGTTCACTGTGATATCACGAATGTCGCAATGCAATACCAGGGCTGCCAGATGTGGATGGTGCATTTTATAAGGAGCCCAATGTAACCGTTGAACATTTCCTTAATGCCCTAAGTAGAAATTAAGGTTTTGGTGGGCTGTTCTTATTGTTTCCTCAGTCAGACATGAACACCGTCTTGCACCACCTCCCGGTCTCATTCAGTGGATGCGCGCCGCACCGGTTGATCGCACAGTCTGTGTTCCCGAGTGCTTTGATGGTGTGTGTGCTCGGTGACCTACATTTGATTGCGTTGAAGCGAGGCGGGTTCTGAGCCCTTCACTTACGAGCACTGTCAAGATTGTCCCGCATAGTACGGGGTTGCCCGTTGTCTAAATAACCCGCCTTGGCTTGAGAGCACTAGCGAATTTGAAGTTATCACTCTCGTGAGGTCGTTTATGTAAATCAAGAATAAAACTGGACTTAATACTGAGTCCCAAGAGAGCAACCACAGTTAAATCTAACTGGGTCTGACATGGTACTGTCAGCTCTCACATTTAGTTGTTGAGTATTGCCTATCGAGCCTAGGGCCGGATCACCGATTCCCCAGCTCTGAAGCTTGTGAAGAAGAATGCGATGATTCAGACAGCCGAATGAATCGCTATCCGTAGTCTCGTGTGAGCTGCATGTTCTCAAAATGAGCGGCATTTTCAAGGTTTACATGGTGGCTACAATCTCAGCGCGATGTCTTGGTCTTGAAATACTCTCGCACACGATTATTCTACCGTGAGCGATATGTACTGATGTGTGCCAAAAGAAGTCGGATGCTTGAAATAGCGCGCCAACCGAAGACCAGAACGAAACACGGCAACTGGCAATTTATCGTCTAAGCAAGCCTCTGTTTGACCTCAGCAACCGCAGCATGCTCCCTCTGCCGGTTGGCACGCTATGACAAGAGTCCGGTTTCCAATGTACACAGTAGCATGTCCATGCAGTGTGCACCGACACGCAAGCAATCGTGACTACCGCCTGCATGCCCACCGGTCTTATTCTTTCTGGTTCACACAGCGCATGGGGGGCTTGTTGGCGCAGTGCAAACCACCACAACCCCTCTATAGGCTCATGCTTAATGAGATTAATCGCAACCTTGATGACAGGTCACCATGAGAATAGAAGCAACAGACATATAGCGCAGAAAGTGGAAGCACCTGCGCGATGGGCACACACACAATTGAGAACGCCGGCACACCACATGTTTCAGCTTTCTCACTCCAATTGCAGTGAGCGCGTGGCTCGGATATTTTTTCCACCGACTACTTTAATAGATGAACCACCACTTCGCTCATACCATAGTGTGTTGCGTGTGTTTGGCGGTGGAAACGTCCACATAAGAGGTGTTACGACACACACACACACACACCTGTCTGAAACTAGAAGAGACAGCTGCTCTGAAAATTCCCTGCTCACCGACAAATCTCATGGCCAGCATGTGCTAGTGGGAGCATGTTAAAGATAAAAGGCCGTCACAAATTCTCTCACTCGTTTGTTCGGTCGGTCGGTCGCTCATTACTGCCTATAGAATCGATGTGAGAAACCTGTTCACAGCGCTAGAGCAAAAACAGCGTTACAACTAGCATAAAGGGTAGTTCTGAACTTCAAATAACGACTCGATTAATAGACACGATCTCAGGGCATGAGCCTATCTGCTCTATATTCGATTGCTAGTTTGGTTCGAAAGTTGTTTATCAAGGACGAATTTTGGCTGCGAACACAGACCACATCACTTGAACGCACGGTTCGTAGTCTACTCGACTCCTATCAGCCATCCGGTTAGTATCGGTGTCCTCATAGGCTGACGTTCAATCACAAATGGCGGTTTTTGATTACAACTATGATCCACATGCGTTACACGACTAGAAGACGATAAACGCTCAATTGGAACCGTGACACATCTCTTTTTGATTATCACCTGAAGGACCAACACTACCTTTTAGAAATTACAACCCAAAACTACTCTGATCTCTCGGCCGAAGCATCGCGTAGAGGCAACTCATCCAGTATCGGAGCTGGTACAGACGTTCCAACTTAAAGGTTCGCTCAACCTCACTCCGAGCGAATCTTTATTGTCAGTGACACAGATTGTATGGACGCGTTGACGTCTGTATGTTTCAGTACTGTGCGGCTCAGTGACATAAGCTGCTGGTTAGTGGTGCAATTCGCTAGTTGTCATGGCTTCGAATCACGATGTATCCGATGGATGGGTACTGCTGACAAAACCTAACAGATCGAAACGGCCGTCTAATGCATCTCTGGGCATGTTGAAGACCCTGATTTGATATGTACTGCACAGAAAACCTCAACAATTTACTGTTTAATCAGTTCGATGGTCCAACCAGTTGTGGAGTGATGTGTCGTAGAACAGGAAGGCCTACTGCATCTATTGGGTCCCGTTCTCTTTTTTTTAAATACGATAAAGAATTGATTTACTCACGCAGCACAGCAGAGCTACCTTCGCCTTAAAATGAACCCTCCAGGTTTCCCAGTTTATCAGTTGTGAAAATTTCGACTAAAAGTGGGATGACGATTCAGCGGTAATCAATGTAGCTTCATGTACCATCTTATCGCAAGATTCGGTGAGCCTTGTTGATGGCAAAGGCTTGTTCCGCAGTAAAAACTACGATACGACGAAACATACTGTTTGGACGATATACTTTAGAAGAGTGATATTAATTTGGCGGTCTTTAGAATGAGGAAGAGGGTCTTCTACAAGCTTCCACCCACAGGCTCTCCTGGACTCCAAAGCTAACCAACTGCTTACATGCTTCCACTGACAGCCGTGAAGAGCGTGCTTGGACGGACATGCCTAGCTACTGATAACGCCTGATTTGCTCGTACACGCGCCTGGGAAATAAACGTAGGAGTTGGTGGTTATGATGTCCAATCCGAAGTGGTTTGAGTGTGGGGTTGACTATTCAGCTAGGAAGACCCGGATATTCAGCCTCTAAATCACACACTATTGGAAATCAAAACCAGTAAACACGGCTCCATCAACCTTCTGTTCGCGTTCCTTCCGCAGCCTTTCATCTTGAGTGATGGTCAGTGGTGGGCAGGCATTCGATTCTGTTCGTCCCTTAACAAGCGGTGGACGGAGCAAAGTAAGGTTGCGAGCCTCAATATCCATCCGTGCGAACACACACGCTCATACGATGACACTCAGATGCACAGACGCACACGTCTGCCGGCAGTCGCGCGCATTCGAGCGCCACACGAGACCTGTGGCTCTGTAGAACGGTTACATGATTGGCCAGATTGTGCCACATCATAACTCGGCTTGCATGTTGTGGTTTGTCCAACAAGTGCTTATGTGCGTCCGTACCTTTGTGAGTGCGTATGTGTGTGTGTGCGTTCGCATCTGGTTGCCTCAATCAGCGAATGCCTGCGCGTATTCTACGGATATCCTCTCTCCGCCCTGACCTACCATATGGAGAAGGGGCGGATATGCGACAGCCTCCCTCCCCCAGTGTGAATAGCGGCGCAACACGAGGAGGAAATTTCTGCCCACTCAAAAAAGTGGGCACGCATCGTTTCATTCTTTCAGTACTGCGTATAAAACGGCCTTCATACCAGAGTACCAGTTTACAGGGCACTCACGATGCAAACCACCGCATGCAAAAGTTGTACGGAAAACACAGACTATTCAGAGACTCAAGCTGGGGCACCACAGAACCCACCCTCTAAAAGGCCGAGACTGAGGAGTCAATTAGCAATTGCATTAACCAGGAGACGTGTGCAACATTACATTCGTCGCCTAAACTCCACTGTTCAGCGCCAAGTGATAACTGGGCTGCAGTTGAGATTACTCTTGCGCCGGATACACCGTTGTCATAGCGGTCAATCGCTCGCGCTCTGCGATGACTCAACGAACAGCACGCAGTGTTCCATTCGACATTCACTACATCATGCCTGGGCTTTACTGAACAGACTGAATCAAACCAAAGCGCCAAAAAAAGCATCAGAGGCAGTTGAACCATTGACGGTATGTCAACATCGGATCATCAGTTCGCTGTCAAGCGAATCACAGAAGGAGATTCCCAACAAGGATTCACAGGGCTCCGGTAATCCAGAAAAGTGCATGTTCGTGGAGCATATACTTGAAACTTTCGGTGAGTTTGTCAGGGTCTTTTGTGCTGGCATATTAAGACGCCTTGTTGTTATCAAATTTGGACGAATTTTCGGTATTTGGCCATACGTCAGGCTGACTAGGTTTCCTCGGCGGAGTAAGAAATTTGTGGCGCAATGTACCTCACGGATTCTATTGTTAGTCACATAACTCAACATTTTAAGTATGGCGTACGAGTAAAACACATGTTCTGTTGGGCATTCTAAAAGTTGCGCTCCACCGGAAAATCAAGTGTCCCCTTGTAGAACAAGTTTTGGTGTGGGAAAAGCATTAAATCGTATATTTTGTCCTCTAATCTTCACTGAAACACGGCTGTGAATGTAACCAAACGTCAACAGCAGGTGTAACATGCTATAGCCTTTGGATCTGGACCACCGTAGGCTCTGAAACAAGCTGATCTGAAAATGCCTATAGCTTGTAGACAAAAAGGTGCACGTGATTCCAATGGTCACCTAGAGAGCAGCATTGTGATCAACTGGTTTCGGTGGCTGACGTCGCACGTGCCCGCAATCTCTCATTCACCGCATTGTGACACAAACGCTCGGTACTCGATAGCGTCTGTTCTACTGTCCATGAACCTTCGAAATTTGTGCAGTGAGGTTACGCTTTGTCAAATTTGCCAACCATATTCGAAGTGAGCACGAGGGAATGCGTTACTAATCATAGGATGGGAACGCAAAACTACCAGGTGCATTCCGTAAAGGGACAACATACTGCGTGGCCGTGGTATTTTTCGAGCACACCAAGGTCGCTTTCCCGGGTAGAGGCATGATATAGTGTAGCCTTGTACTTGCCTAGTTAGGTTATCAAATCGCTTTTCATATTCAACTAATAGACACTCCATCAACAGAGATTTCAAGTGCCTTGAATCTTTAACTCATTAATAAGGTTAATAGAAGTTTGCTGACCATCCCTGCAAAGTTGTTGACAAACTGAGGAAATACCGGATCTTAATAACGAAGATTGCTGTGTGCTTCGCTTGGCTTCATTTTGCTCTAACAGAGACTCCCAAGGAAGACCGAAGACGAAGGTTCCCGCTTCATTTTGGATGACGACACTCATTTTATAGTGAGCAGAAAGAAGAAGGCTGATTGAGTTTTACATCGTCCATTATCATTTGAGGAAGGTGTATCCGCTTGGGATTTCCATTTTCCCACTGTACTGGTCGGAGCATTGGAGGGGCCGGAATCAGTCTAGAGAGGAAACGTCCTAATCAAACAGAAGAGTATGCAAGACCTCCCATTATTCACCAGCGAGTGAGCACTGTCTTCGTACCGCCCCTCGTCTTGATGCTGTACTCTTCTAGGCGCTGCTTTACGGTTTTGAATGGTTTGGAGAAAACTATTTGCATAGTACAAGAGTTATTAGAACGCATGCAGAGTCTGTCGCGGACCAAATGAATGTTCATTCTGCATTTCATCCAAAATTGGTACCCGGTACTTTAATTATTAGAGCAATTACAGGACTGATCCGTCACTCCGTTCAGATATTCCGGGTGTTTATGTTCTTTGTTAACGAATCGCTTCATATCTTCGTTTAACATTTACTCAGAAATTGGTATCGTGACTGTATACTTGTGCACGTCCGCCTCGTCTCCACCCTGTTGATCCTGAGTCCGGACTCAGGGTTCTGTGCAGAAGACGTGTGGCTGGACTAATTTCCAATCTGGACACGGAAGCCTAGGCACACTCGGCAATGTGATTGTGTAATCCGACCTGTACCATAATCACGTATGATAATGTGTGTGGGTACGAACGCACGCATAACAGATGCATATATTATAGACGCCGTAGCCACCAATGTGTCTATGTGCCGGAATGAAAAGTCGGTCGCGGTGTAACTATGCAGATTCGCTTATTCGGGTAAATGCTGAACGTGTTTGTGCTCACCATGGTAACAGCACTCTGCAAAGTCGATAGGCATAACTTAATTTGGCACACTACCCATTCACCCTAGAACATGGCTGTATGGTATGCTATCAGGCCTACTAATATCTACCTTACAGTCGTCCATTTTTGTCGCTGTCTTTCTTGCAGAATTGTGCTTGTTAATCGCTTAATAAGTCTTCAGTAGACGATTCTCGATTGTCGCATCCTCAGTGGATCAATTATCATGCGGTCACATACAGTAAACCGCGTCTAAGTCCCCGCAGTCCTGTTCTTCGTTTAGTTAACCCCGATAACTCGAACTGTAAATGCGTCCAACGGACAATATTCTCGGAGTGGACGGCTGAAAGTCTCATTAAAGATGCTAGAAGACTTTTGATCCTTTAAACTGCTTTTGGGACAGCGAGGATATAGATTTTTCTGGGGTTTAACGTCGTTTACTCGTTTTCGCTTATAGACTGTGCTGAATCGAGGTTAGTTCCACCGTGAGCTCTTTGGCTGCAACGTGATGTCTGTTGTGCGGTATGGGTGAAAATTTCCGGTTCCCTTACAGTCACCACACGTGGAGATGTTAAATGGTATACGGTTCAACACAACAGCAATGTCAAATGTACCGAAGATTTGTGAACAGTTGGCTTGATTGACATCGCGTACTCGACAAAAATATCCAACACAACGAACATTTCAAAACGATCCCCATACTGTCACTAACCGTTATGACAGGTGGTGCACGTTGCGACGCGGTAACAGAGGTAAACGTTTCGGCTGGCTGTCCCAAAGTACCGGGTTCGACTCAAAGTCTTACTCTCTCACTCTCTACCTGAAGAGTGCAAAGAGTAGGCGGTCACTTGTGGAATGCGGTGCTACTGACCGGCAGCACTCAACACCTGCCTGTTGCCGACACGTTCCCGGTGACTGGATCGACTGTGAATCACTTAAACGTGAATCGTGGTCCAGGTTGAGGTTAAAGGCTGCATTCTACTCACGCAACACGTGCTTCAATATGACCTCCACCTACTTAAAAAGAAGAAAGGTTTAAATGAAAACATTTCAATCTGAAGAGGGTTGAAAGGTCTCCGAATAGTGTGGGAAAGCTTAGGCCAGAGTGGGGGGCGGACACATTAAAGCCACTTACAATGCCAACGTAAACAAGATTTTCGACTAAGACGAAAATGCTTGTGGCTCTCTTCCAAGAACCTGGTGTGCGTCAGCAAGGCGTAAAATTTCGATCAGCCTCTTTACAACAATACGTTAAGAGTTTTGCACCAAAGCTTTAAAGGACATCCCAAGAAAAGCCTACGGTGACATCTTCGATGCCTGGGAATCTCGCTGGAAGCGATGGATCGACACAGGTGGTCTATTTCGAAACCTTTTAATGTGTTGTTCCGATCTGGTACATAAGGGCTTTTCAGTCGACTCACTGACATTGCTTTCCGACAAACCATGTGTATCATCGACCGGTCACTAAGGTTGCATTGACCAAGCTTACACATCGGCACACAATACGCTCTGGGTGGTCGGTTTGCCTTTTGGTGAAGTATATTTTCCCTTTAACTTTTGCATTTGCCCCAGGCCATCCCAAAGGACTTGTCAAGCCCTCGGTTTTTCCACTCGTATTATACCAGGGTTTCACTATTCTATTAATGGACATCGTTGATTAACACAAGCGGATTCTAGTTCAACTGCTCGTGACTTATTACACCAGAGATTTGATTGTCTCCTACCAAGTGGTCAGCACCCCCCTCTGCACTCTCATCAGACATGAGGAACAATTAACAGTTTTCTGTGATCAATCATGAGCAGTTTGTAAATGTTTCCAATACGCAGTGATATTTATGTGGTGCTTAGAGCAACCCGAGGGTCTAGCGAGTACTCTGTGCACCTGTATAGTATCGGGCGACCTGATCAGCAGTCATGTGTATAAGAGACCGAGGATTCGAAAAGCTCTAGGCAAACGCGTCTTAGCATCTGAGAAAGTCACATCACTTATATGTTCCTTAAGTACGATGTGGGCAGGCACTTATCAAGAGCTTACTTCATTGTCCGTCGTACTAGTTCTACTTGCTGTCGTTCTAACACAGTACCAGGGCTACAGTGCAGTGCATGCAGTTGTCTGACTCGCGCAGCTAGGTTTACAGTACATAACAGGGGTGAGAAAATAGAATATATAAAATTAATCCGGGTAAAATATTCACAGCTAGGTATGCGGATACGTCTTTCGGTAGGATCACTGACCAATAATAATAATAATAATAATAACAATAAGAATGCATACTCTCGGGTTTAAGAGACACGCCCCTTCGGCATGAGCAAATTTTTACCATTATTTCATATATTTACAGCATTTTCCTAATGTCAGACAGAAACAAAAATCGTGTTTTAACCTTCGTGGTTGTATAGCTCAAAAGCCATTTGTGCACAGAATGTTTCAGGGCGTCCTGACTGAGAGCTCCGTGTGTTCGGACGAAAACAAGTTGTCTTTTCTTTGGGTATAAGATAAGAAGCAATTATATGGGGCTAGGAGAAGCATTAAAGCTCAACTCATACTTAAAGAACAGAGTATCTAATTTAGACTGAACATTTTCTGTACCTTGTGGTGTTCTAAAAGGAGTAGTGAAAGATGGTGGTATTTATTCATTTTCAGTTCAACAACTGTATGTGCAGTTGGGCCGAGACAGGTAGAGTGGAAGATTTATTTGTTGTGTATGAGGCGAACGTGATTGGCATTTGTCAACTGGCTCAGGTGGTTTGATTTGATTGTACGCTACGCGTAAGCGAGTGAGAGGAAGAATGAAAGCGAAATTTTGGAAATGGGGATAATGATGATGATGATGACCGAAGCAGAATCCGTTAACTTCATGTTGCTGCCTGACATGTTTACATGGGAGCCATATGGGAAGCATGGACGAGTAAGAGAAGAACGAATGGTGAAAGCAAATGAAGATGGACAGATTCAGTCAGCGTTTCCTTCTCATCTTACACTTTTTGGTATGGCTGCAAAGTAGGCGTGGCTGAGTAAAAAGAATATGAATAATGGAGACAAGAATGGCAATCTGCATCTCTGCAATTTCGCTGCAGTTCACACTTATTGGTGGGT